TGCTTTTGGGAAGGCTCACTTAAAAAAAATTCTGGAGTGCCTTGAGTTATACTTCAGGTCGTGGCCTGAATTGCCCCAATTGCATCATCCAGCACAGAGCAGTACTTAGTGCATTCAAGTGCTTTCTCTTAGGACCTACAACTAATCAGCCCTTCACTTTATTTTGAAAGTGGCTCAGCCTGTTGGACTATCTTGGGTAATGTCTAGCATATGCCCATAGACCCAAAGCCCTCACAGAATGCAGCACATTGATAGTGTCTGCCTTTGGAAGGCAGAAGGAAGACTCAGCTTTTTCCATTGTGGCTTTCCATTTAAACCCATGTTTCCCAGCTGCTAGGCTGCTCCCCGACCCAAAGTAAAGTTTTGCAAGAAATTTTAACGGCTTGCTGAGCAATGAGGCCCAGTTCTTAGGGCACTTAAGGGACTAAAGGGTGATGGGGGTGCAGTCCTTCCTTCCAGGGCAGTTTGTAGGTTTTAACCAGTGACTGTTTAGTGCAAAACAACACAGCTTAAGATGCTCAGAGGATCTTTTTGTATCCCAAAGTAGTTGTTTCTTGATGAGTTGAAATCCTGGTGTGGATTTGACAGCTGCCCAGAAATAGCACCCAAACTGTCATGTCCCATTTCTCCCTCACATTTGGCTTTAGCCACGGATGTCTGAACGTTTGTTTCCACTTGGCTCTGCAGATGCCAGCTGGGTCACTCGCAGCTCTTAGGCAGAGGCCCCAGAAGAAGTTGCAGCTCCGGGAGACGTGGCTCTCTATCAGGAGGTGCCCCTCAGTGGAAGCTGCAAGTACCTGCAGCCTGTGCAGAGGTTCCTGCCTGAAACGGGGACAGGTCTCTTGGTGGGCAATCACAAGCCTTGCTTGCTATCCAGAATGCTGGATTTCAGTCTGTGGCAGGGACTGGCTACCTTTGTGGGGTGAAAATAACTCACACCATCGGGGACCTGACAGTGATGGAAAGATGAGGAAGAGCTATGCTTGGTGATGAAGGCTGCACATTATTCACAGGAGGTTTGCAAAGCTTAGGAAAGCTCTATGTGGGATGAGTTATTCCAAGCTTCACTGCCAGTGTCCCAAATCTGGGTTCTTCACCTGGTGTGCAGTAAGCCAGTAAACATTCAGATTTGAGATTATTTGTCTTTATTTCTAGTCTGCAGAGGGTGCCAGGCATTTAACATCAGCCAGCACACCTTTTGGGAGACAGGTAGGGTCCCATATAGAAAACAGTTGACAAAGGAAAATCACAACAAAATACGATTGGTTACCAATGATTCATCTACCACTCCTAGTGATACATATGCATCTAAGCTTTTGTTTAAAACATTTAGGGAGGTTACCAGATTAGCATGCTCATTATTCACAAAGAGGTGTGATTTTTAGCATTAAAATTAGCTGAGGTAACCAGAGTTTACACCTTCATCCTATCAGCTGCCACTAAGTTCTTACCCAGTCTTGCTCAGTTTTTCATCCTGTTATGGGTCTGCTTCTAGACAATAGTTTACCATGAAATATGGTCTCGTGCATCCAACCATGGGGACCCTCCATTCTTCTTGTTATGGTTTTCAAAACAGAGATCATCATGGTCACCCAGTTTGTAAATATTTAACTCTTCCCTGCCAACATCACTGGTCCAGCCTCTCAACCCTGCTTTGCAGGATTTCCCATCCCAAGTACTGTTCTGCCTCAGAGAAGCTGTAAATAAACCCTGAGCTTACTTTCACACTTATATCTCACATAGGCTTAGCCTTTCTGTGACAGTTAATTTCTTTCAGGTTCCTTCTCCAGTCAGCTTAAGAAGCTCAGTTGCTTTCTTGTTAAGTATCAAGCTCAGGCTTCACTACAGGTATGTTAAGCTTCCTGAAGGGATGGTAGCAGGACAATCTTATACTATGGTTAGGACCAGTGATCTCTAACCTATAACACTTACTTGGTAAGTTTGACAGGGCAAGTACACGACCCATCACAGAGAAGTCTACAACAAGAAAAAAACCATCCCAAGATTCTAAATTGTCCAAACTTCTAAAAAAGAATTCTGCTGGTGGAAACAATGGGTAGTAACAAGCTTCCAAGAGTTTATTGTTCCAGTGTGAGGTTTTCAGTTGAGAATTGCCCTGAAGAGCTGCAGTAGGTAGGTTTTTCTGTCTTCATGTGCAATTGGAAAACACCCACTTCCTAACTCAGTTGGCTTAATCCCATTGCAGTCAGGTTTATTTGATGTTTCTCCATTAGCTAAGTACTGCTGATTCCTCCAGCACAATATGCCTTATTGCAAGGAGCAAAAAACCACAGGAGCAGACTGTAGTGTTAGTGACATTCTCTGCCACTGCCCTTTTGCTCTTGTGGAGCATTTTGTTTTGCTGTGGAATAGTAACCAGGCTTCACTGACAAGAGGCAAGGACAAGCATGACTGAGGAAAGGGAAACCACTTTGACTTCATCATTATCCTTAAGCTCTACAAACTGCCCTTTGATGATTGATGGTCTGATGCCTGCACATCTTCATTCTTTTTTTGGCTTTTCCTTGCCTCTCTGATTTATTCTGGGTGAAGAAGCTCCCATAAACAAAAGGCAAATGTCTCAGCATTGATTCCACATTGGGAAGTGCTATTTCAGTTGCTAGGGGATCTGCTTAAAAAACAGGATTTCTATTTCAGGTAGTCTTACAATGCGCTGTTCTGCTGTTTCTGCTAATTTTCCAAAGAATAATACCGTGGTTTTATCTTCCTATTAATATCTGGGGGAAGTCTTTATTAGGACTTATGGCTGCTTGAGAACTAAATTCACATAGAATCACAGAATGGTTAAGTTTGAAAGGGACCTTAAAGATCAGCAGATTCCACCCTCCCTGCTATGAGCAGGGACACCTCACACTAGACCAGGCTGCACAAGCCTTATCCAACCTGGCCTCAAACATCTCCAGGGAGAAGTAATCAACAACCTCTCCTAGGCAACCTATTCCAGCACCTTACTACCCTCATAGTGAAGAATTTCTTCCTGATGTGTAACCTACTTCTACTCCCTTTCAGTTTAAAACCATTACCCCTTGTCCTATCACTACCCTCTCTGGTGAAAAGTCCCTCTCCAGCTTTCCTGTAGCCTTCTCTTCTCCAGGCTGAACAGCCCCACCTCTCTCAGCCTGTCTTCATAGCAGAGGTGCTCCAGCCCTTTGATCATCTTCATGCTCCTTCTCTGGACCCTCCCCAACAGCTCCATGTCTTGCCTGTGCTGAGGGCACCAGAACTGTACACAGAACTCCAGGTGAGGTCTCACCAGAGCAGAGCAGAGGGGCAGAATCACCTCCCTGGCCCTGCTGGCCACACTTCTTTTGATGCAGCCCAGGATGTGTTTGGCTCTCTGGGCTCCAGCACACACTGGTGGCTCATGTTGAGCTTCTCATCAACTACCACCCCCGAGTCCTTCTCCTCAGGGCTGCTCTCCAAGCCATTCTCCCCCCAGCCTGTATTTGTGCCTGGGGTTGTGCTGACCCAGGTGCAGGACCTTGCACTTGGCTTTGTTGAGCTTCATGAGGTTGGCACTGGCCCACCTTTCCAGCCTGTCAAGATTCCTCTGTTAGAGTAAGCTAATTCTCTTATCCTCAAGGTGACTTTTACAGTGGGACTTAGATTGTTTTGCCCAGGCCATACACATGTCATCAGCCATAAGAGCTACAATGCACCATCCTCTAGAAGCTGCTCCAGTGCTGCTCTCCGAAAATCTCTTGAAACCTCTAAGCACTGCATTTCTATCATCAATAACAGACATCTAACCAAATAATCTCCTTAGCAGATTGCAGACAAGCACCCTTTCAGTATTTCCAGTAATTAGTATTAAATTAAGTGTAGTTTTAGATGGGAAGAGGGTGGGAGAAAGAGCCAAGGAATTTAGTATTGGTTGAAGGTGCAGTATGGACAATCCTGGAACCACTAATCAACATAAACTATGGGACAAATTTATGTCTCTGTGGGGTAGATTTTTATTTCTGCTTGTCTTGCTCTGTGGGAGACAGTGCTCAGATGGAAGGAAAATTTGGGTATTACATCTACCATACCTGCCACAGACTTCAGGCTCTCTTATACTAGTATAGGGCCATGCAGGCTGTATATTTACTACAGACAGGTTCTTGAGGCACCCCAGCTGAGCAGTTCCAGACAATTCTGTGTCTAAGGGAAATGGTAAAATGTAAACAGAAACTTTCCATATGTGGTCTAAGCCAGAGACAGCTACTAAAATACAGCACCTGTGTGCGTGGTCACATGCTACAGAAGAAAGTGTCTGCTGTACCCAGTGAGTTTTTCCATTGCTCTGAATATGAGATTACCTTGGAAAGCAGTAACTGTGCTACAAGAGTATAACCCAACTCAGTGCCAGGAGCATCCATGATGAAACACAGGCCTGGTGAGAAGCTAATAATTTTCTCTTTGTTGCTTACCCACCCACCCCCCCACCCACCCCCCTGCCCAATTTAGGAAATACCATACAAAGAGGAATTAAGGTGGATGTGCTAGAATAGGAAAAGGACCCATGGATACTGTGACTTGACTGACCCAGTGTGTCAGCCCAAGGAAGAAAAGTGAGCAGAAAGAGTAGTTTCTCAGGCATCTCCATCCACCTTAGTCAGGCTCAGCTTCAGGGCTCCTCAAGGTCTGGCCAGCAACAGCCTAAACATTTTCCCAAAAATCTTGACCTACCTAGAACATGAGCATCATTACTTGGTTGAGAGGCACCTGCAGGCCTGTCCTTTGACCCATGGACTGCCTAGAAAACTGAGAGGAACTCTTTGATCCAGTCTCTCCTATGATGCTATGGCTGGCAGGAGTCTGTGTGTGTCCAGCAATTGCATTTATTCTTGTTTCTGACTGCAGAAGAAGCTTCCTGCGTTTCTGCTGAGCAGCAGGGAATCCACCACGCTGAGGTTGTGGTGTGGATGGGGATGGCATTGCCACCAGGCACATGTTTTGGTACTATTAACCATACTCCTTTTTGGTTTGCTCCACAGATCCTGTGTGGGAAAGAGATCCCCCGCTGGGTGAACCGCCTGGCCTACTTCAGCTCCTGCATCCCCTTCCTCCAGAGCTGCCTCCCCAAGGAGTGGCTGACCCCAGCAGCCCTGCAGAGCCACATCAGCCTCGGCCTCCACAAGGAGGAGCAGGGGGACACAACAGATGAGGAGTCCCCCTCTACCTCCACGGCCCCCTCAGCCTCAGGCACCTCACGAACCTGCCGGCACACCCGGGTCTGAACTGTGCCCTCAAATAACATCCTCCTCCTCTCTTGTACTATTGCTTTCTAACACATTTTTGCACACCTTCATTTCTCCTCCTCTTCACCGGACAATGCAGGGGAGGGAAAACTCTTTCTACTAAGGAGGTGAAACTTCAGTCCCTTTACCAGGGACTGGCACTACAGCTGCTCAGCAAAATGACTGTGAACCCCAACACTGAACTGGGGAGCGTGGCAACTAAACAGGACTCTCCTCCCAGGGCCCCCATGCTCCTCAGTCCAGAGAGTATGAGAGCATGTGTATGGGCAGAGACACACCAGACTGAGATGTTCCTTCTCTGGAACTGTTTTAACTTTTTATCTCTTCCCCCACCCACATGAGCCCAGCAGCCCTGCCCTGTTCTGGCTGGGGCTTATGGCAAATTTCCTCCCCAGACCCAGTGAAGGAAGCGGAGCCAGAACTCAACCTTCTTGTCTTTTAGACCAGCAATGAGCTCCACTCAGTCCCTCCCTTTTGTAATTATCAGGTTTCTAACTCACGTGAAGGACAAATGAAAGGTGCTGCTGTTCTAAACCACTAGTTTTCAGTACTCAAATTTAAGAGTTCAAATGACTGTCCTGCTCTTGAAAATAATAACAAAGAACCTAGAATATGAATGTGTTACCGTGGCTTTTCTTTGGGGTCAAAAAGAGGATGGGGCAGTGTTTACAGGCAGCTACTTAGTGAGTGCAGAGATGACTGTTGACCATATTGGTGCTTTTTGGCACAGACCCCTCTCAGTTTCCCTATTTCTAGGCAGTGTTCCTGGTTTCCTCTTTTTCCCCATATTCCCTGGGGAATCTCTCTCCTACCTGACATTTGCTGGCTGTCTTTGGGGAAATGGCCCTCTGGAGCAGTAGGAAGAGAAGAGGGAATCTGTTAGGAAGGTTAGTATTTCCTTCAGTTTTTGATCTTGCACTTGCAGACCTAAAATGTGGCTCCTGAGCCACCTTTCCCCAGCCTATTTTTGAGCCAAGCCAAGAAGGTAAAAATAAGTGGTGAACCCAAAGAATGTCAGCCTGTTTCCTTCTCTTCTCTTTTGGTATGTGGAGGAGGAAACCTAGGGCCAAATCAGGAAAGCATGGATGACCCTTCCCATGCATGAGCCACCATGGTGCCTTCTGTTATGTGCACTATTTCAGTGGCATAAAAAATGGGCATAGCTGGCTGGCTCACTGGCCTCTCCAGGCAGACAAGAATCTGGTCCTTGAATGTATCTACACTTATTCTGACAACTAACAAAGCAGAGGAGGAAAGGAAAGGTATACCAACTCTTCTACTCAATTACCTCAATAGGCGCTCCAGTCAGACCACGTAGGAAAGAATCAAATGGGAACTACAGGCCCCCTTTCTCCCTGGCAGCTCCTCTTGGCTACACAAAGGAGGATGAAAATGGACAAGGCACAGTGTTGAGAGGGGGTTGCCATATTAGAAATGCAGTTCTCAAAGGCCACTATCAAGTCAGGACTTCCACCCTCCACCCAGGAAGAGCTACAAGCCCTTAAGATGGGTGGTTGTTTCCTTTTATTGGTTGCAATAGCATGCTAAGTCCAACCAGATGTTTCTTTAGCTCACATATGCAGAATTGTGTGCTTTCAGGGCTGAAGGTCTTGGCTATGATGTACATCACGTCCACACAGGCAGTGCTTTATGGTTTGCTACATGTGCACACTCTTAGTGAAGCAGGAGGCTTTGGAAAGATCTGTTGGATGGAAATATAACTCAGGATGATCTCACTCCACTGTCCCCTGAAGTGATGCATGTTCAGGCAACAAAACCTTTACAACATGCCTCTCATTTTCATCCTCTGAGCAAATTGCTGTAAGGTCTGTGTTTAATGAAAGTCATGTTCCTTGTTAACCTTGGCTATTCACAGCCAGTGCTGCATTGTGAGCAATTCTGCAGCTCCTGGTATCCAATCCAGCACCAGTCGTGATTATTCCGGCTAGTCCAGGGATGTTTAATAAGATTTCCATCCCCTTCTCCTGCTGCCCAGAAAAAACATTATGCAATGTACTGTAGCACTGCTTATTCCCCTGCAGTCATGGTCATTGCAGCCTAAACCAGTGGTGCAAGCTCCATTTGTCTGAAGTTCCCAGGAAGCCTGCCAACAGCCAGCGGCACATTACGTGCAGTGAAATTTTAAAATCTCTTTTTAGATCCTTCTCTGGAGGAAACTGAGAATAGGCTTTCCCAGAGCTTTTCTCTAGGCCAGGGAAACTGCAGTCAGAAGCACCTGGTTCCTGATGTAGCAAAAGCCAGCCAGCCATCACCCCCGTGTTTCCACTCCACACCTGAGCTCCAGATCATGTATGCATGAAGAAACAACCAGGGCTCCAGAGATGAGTTTCACACAGAAAACCCTCACACAGTATTTCAACAAGCGAAACACTTACCTGTATTGTATTGTAACCCAGACAAAAAAGCTGCGTTCAGCCTCCCTGGGGACATGAGTACATGCTTGGAAGTACGGTGAGCAACACTTGGGGTGACCTGTCCATGTCATAAAAAACAGATGTTTTTTTATCCACTCTTATGTTTGTCTATGGGCTTATGGCAGCAGGGGTCACATCGAGGATGCATCAAAATTCTGTTGTAAATCAAAACCAGAATATATTCCAATCTTCAAGAGTTTTTTTCCCACCCCACAAAGGGAAACTGGAAATAAAATATACGTTGATTATAGCTTTACCTCTGTAATTTAACAGCATTTTAGTTTATTAAACATCAAAACATTTTAAAAGTCTGATTTACTGTTGATCTCTGGCACAGCATAATTGTTTTAGGCACTTTTCTTATCCTTCAAAGTATTACAAAATTATTGTTATTATATAATTATATGTTTGTATTTAGTTTCATATTTGCTTTCTCTTGCTGTTTTAGAGCATATCACCATGGGGAATTTCTAGATACCAACAGCTGCCAATAAAAACGAAATATCAACTTACGAACCTTAATGAGAACACCCCACAGTAGAGGCACAAGCGCTTTTAGTGCCCTGGAGTGAGCTGGAGTGAGAGGGCACCAACCCTGCTCATGTGTGTCAGCAGCTGTGGGTTATTTCCCTAACTGAGGACTGATAGTACTCAGGTGGGACAGGGAGACCAAAGCTGAGGTTAGCCTCACTCTGTAGTATTAGAGTTACAAGATAAACTGTTTCTGGAGAAAGTTAGGGGGAGAGGAAAGAGATAATACTTCTTCTCAGGATGTTTGCAGGTAAATAGTTGTCTTCTAGTACCTCAAGGGGCCTACAGGAAAGCTAGAGAGTGAATGTTTACAAGGACATGTAGCAATAGGAGAAGGAGTAATGGGTTTAAACTGGAAGAGGGTAGATTTAGATTTGACGTTAGGAAGAAATTCTTTAGTGGGGAGAGGGTTGAGACACTGGAACCGGTTGACCAGGAAAGTTGTCTCATTCCTGGAAGTGTTCAAGGCCAGGTTGGAGGGGGCTTTGAGCAACCTGGTCTAGTGGGAGGGGGTTAGAACCAGATCATCTTTAAGGTCCCTTCCAACCCAAACCATTATATGATTCAAACTCTTAATTTCAGGTGCTTACTTTTACTGCTCAGGGTTGGTTTTTTCAGTTGTGAGTCTGAGATTTGAGGTTTTTCTTTCAAATGCTCAGGAAGTTTAAAAAGGGACAGTCGTGCTTTTAGAGGTGCTGAGTAAGTTGGTTCCCCAGCTCTGAGCTTGTGATGAGTTCATCTCAGTCTCAGCATTGGGTAGGGGTGAATACAGACCTGTCCTCTTGCTCTTATTGCTCCCAGCATTTCTGGAATTCAGACCCATATTATCTTTGTGTTATTGAGCTACTGAAGAAGCAGTCATCTCCTGCTATGTTATTTTTAATTCTTCAGTTCTGTTTGTTTGTTTCTTGGCTCTCAGAATAGGTTTGTGGCCCCTGAATTGCAATAGTTAGCTTATCTTATTATTATATGCTTGACTTCCTTCTCAGTTTGTACATATGTGGTGGGTTATTGACATGTTCAGAAAACTTACATTAAGTACCTCCACCAAATCCTTGATGTGATGAATGGAGAAGACCAAAGGAAGTAATCATCTGTGTTTCATGTTTCAAATGGTTTTAAATTACTCTTTGTGTTAAGGCAGCAGGTGCTCTGTTCTACTCTGTCCCTGCTGTGCTCACCATCCAGTTGGGTTGGAAAGGCTGTGTAATAACTCAGGAAAGCATTTAAAAGAGGAGCATTCATTCTCCTAGTTCCACTCTGCCATTGCCACAGGCTACCAGAACATGGCAGAGCCTTTGGCTACAGTAATATGAGAAAACATCACAGCCTGTGCCTGGAGAATATGTGCTCTTACCTCTAACATGTCAGCATTCTCCCTAACGTGTCACTGGGCAGGTGGTTGTAGCTGAGAGGTGTTTGAGTGGCTGGCATGGCACACTTATTTACTAGCAGGAACAAATGATTAATGGCTTTAAATCTCAAGAGCATGACAGTCTGTTAGTGCTGTTGTAGCCAGCTTTGTTTTGAAAAGGCTATAAAAGCTTTTGGGGGTCCACTGTGATTGGGAAAAGGGGTATCAATGCAGGAAAACAGACATTATGGTCATGGCAATATTCCTTCCTTAGAAGTCCAGGCTACAGAATTAAAGACATGGCTAGTAGCCAGGCCTACACAACTGCTTTAATTATTGAGCTTTGATGGAAAGTTCAAAATGGCCCTCAGTGAGGTGTGTGTGCACCTCCAGAAGCTAGTGGGGACTGTGTGCAGCTTAACAATATTGATCTGGCTTGTCTCTTGTTACAAGTGAAGATTCAGCTGGCTAAGCTGTGTCCATCCACTGTGTGAACACTAACACAGCCTTCAGCTCTCACTGGAGGTGGCAGAGGCTGCATATGTTTGTCCCTGCCAGGGCACTCCGTGATTAATGATTCTGAATGGCAACATGTCCTGCTATTTCAGCCCTGCTCTGCCTCCCATCCTGCCAAGGCATCCCAGGTGTAAGCTGCAGAAGCTCTTGGTTTCTCCACTGTGTTCTTGGACACGGCCTCTTGTGTCCCTGAGATGCCCCTGACCTCATTCTGCAGGCTTGCTTTCCTGATGGGTGGGGAGGTGAAACCTCTGGCTCTGTTGTTTTACACAAGCCAGGTCCTTTTACCAAGTGCCCCACAGCATCAATGGAAGCTCAGAACACAGAAAAGTGCTGGGAGTCTGGGTAAAGTCCTCTC